AAAAGAATAAGATAAGACTACAAGAGCAAGAAGCAATTTAAATATGTTAAGGGACCATTTTCATCTCCAGAATTAAGGATTATTTTAATCTTACATCATTGCCTTTTCTCTTTTACTTTCCTTTTTAGTTTTATTTAAGGATTCCCTATTTGTAATGTTCATACAGAGATTTCTTTAACTGAAATACCAAATAGTTTCTCTGGGGTGAAAAACTAGAATAATACACAGGATCCTAATGAGATAATTAATAATGTGAAATAGGAAGTAAAGGGCTAAAGGTGTAGGGAAAGTGGGAAGGGTGGGGGAAAGGTAATAAGGGCGAGAAAAAAATATGAGAAATTGAAAAAATGGAAATAAAGTGTTTGTAAATGGGGAGGGGTGAAGTGAGGGCAGGGACCAGGGGAAAAAATGAGAATCAAGACCTATTATGTAAAGGTACAGGGTCCCAATGATGAATGTAACTGTATTGTATACCTAGATTGTACCAATAAACTCAATAAAAAGAAAAAAAAAGAATGAATGGCTAAAGAAAATATATTAGCCATTAAGAAAAATGAAACCTTGTTATATCTGACAGCATAGATGAACTTAGAGGATATTAACTGAAATAAACTAGCCACAGAAAGATACATAATGAATATTCTTATTCACACGAAAAAGCTGATAAGGTTGATCTCATAGAAGTAGAGAGTAGAAAAGAGGCTGAAAAGGTAGGAGGGAGTAAGGATAGTGAGAAGATGGATAATGGGTACCAAAATACAGTTCAAGAAGGAATAAGTTCTATTGTACTGTAGCACAGTAAGGCGGCTGCGGATAACAATAATTACTGCATATTTCAAAATAGCTATAAGAGTGGATTTTAAATGTTCCATATAAATGATAAATGCTTGCTATGAAGGAAATGCTTACCCTGATTTGATCACTGTATACTGTATGCATGTATTTACATAGCACACCTTATTCCAAAAATATGTACAATTATGATGTGTCAGTGAAAAAATCCCAAACATTCAGCCTCATAAACATGTTGTAAGTCCATTAAAAAAACACCAGACACCAAAAATGCTGCCATGACTCAGGAGTGAGAGTGCCTTGGCTTACCTCTCTAGCTGCCCGTTCTCCAGCCTCGACTGCTCCCTCCATGTAACCGCTCCACTGTGTGGCAGTCTCTGTGCCAGCAAAGTAAATTCTGCCCACTGGCTGGCGAATCACCCTTCAAGGGAAAAAGGTTACATAGATTACACAGGAAGGTGCTAAGGGCAAATGAGCCAATCACTGCCTTTATTTACTCTGCAGACTACGAGGAAACTCAAAATTATTCATAAAATACCCATGTTACACAGCCCAAGATAAAAGGCTAGCCTATCCCTTGCTTCCTGGTTCTGTACACAAGGATCTGAACATTCAACCCGGGGAGAATGAGGCTGTCAGATCATCAGTCACTCAATGTGATGTTGACCTTTTCCAAGCCAGCCAGAGTGAGAATGTGAAAACATGCATCCAATCCACAATTAGATCTCCTGGCTGTATGTTTCCTGTTTTCAGTCCATTTTATTACCTACACTGTCTTTCTAAAGGTTCCATTCTTTTTGAGATTGCACACACAGCTACAGAGCCGAGCCATGTAGGCACTCCCAATGCATCAGTATTGGCTGTTGTGGCAAGTGGGAAGACAAGATTGACTGTCATTTCTGGCAGAGGAGACACCCAAGGGATTATATGATGTGTCTCATTAAATGATATCCTCTGTATAGTTTCTCTCAACTTTTTGTGGGACTGGCTGAGGGCCAGAAAATGGGCCTCTTCTTACAAAGAGGTAATATCAAAGAGAATCAAGACAGAGCACGACCAAATAGCCAATTGTCTTCTCCAACCTAACCTTCTCAGAGCTGACTCCTGCTAAGCCTGCAGTCACTTTTATGAATTTTCATGCCCCAATCCCACCCCAGAGATCTTCACTCTACCCAGTGGCACTCAGTTTTCAATTAGGAGCCATGAGCTTCATCTATTCCTGATCCTTGTTCTACCTTTTAGATTTCTATCATCACTCTAGAAGTAATCTCATTATCATTAACAAAACCAGTTTGACTGAGTTAAGAAAAAAGACACGGTTGGGACTGTAGCTCAGTGACACACACTTGCCGAGAATATGTGAGGTACTAGGTTCCAGCCCCACTATTCCCTCAAACAGAAAAAGACAAAAAGCTCCCGAAAGGAAGAGTTGACAAGTGCTTCTTTCTTAGTGGATCGTATGTTAACAGTCTAGCTTTGTTCTTCTATAAATAAGATGATGGTGTAATACCACCCATGGGACTGGGAAACACATTGCTAATGCTACAAATGTCTCCCCTCCTACTTGCAAATGAAAACTGCATCCAGACCAGGAGGACTGTGAAAGAATTGTAAAAACCTGGTAGGAAGCTGTCACTTTGGGCTTGTTGAGAGTAATGTCTCCTATAACTGAGGAAGTGACCCTGGACATTATGCCTATGAGGCACAGAGATGATGGTTTCTATGGAGCGAGGAGCTTCTAAGTCAATGTACCCCTGAACCTATTTGTATCTCATCTCCCCACCCTTTAGCTGTATACAGCAAGAACCACTCCTCTGCTGGACAGAAAGATGTATGAAACACATCCAATGCCCTGTGTGACCGGTACCAAGGAGCCTAGGGTGATCCTGTGAAACTAAATGTTGAGCTAAGCTCAAGAAGGGCCCTTGGAAGACCCTGCAGTTTGCTTCGTCTCACAAGTACTGCTGGCATCTGAAGTTCTCCCCAGTGCTTGGCTATTATTCTAGCTGTTGATATCTTTGTTTTTCTAGGGACATCTGGAAAGTTACAAACTATCTGGAACATTACAAATAGGAATGTTCATTGAATTCTCATGGAACAATTTCATTGAGATGTGGTCTAGGTCTTACATTAATTGGGGGCACTACCTTCCATATTGGGTCATGATCCCAGGGGGGAAGTAGGCTGTGTAGCAGCCTCCAGAGTACTGCTCTTCACACCAGTTCTTCTCTTCATAATGCACCGGCTGCAGTTTGTGGGGAGAAAATTCCAAAGAGAAAACAAAACTGAAATGCTACCAACCAACAATAAAGGCTCAAATATTTATTATCAAAAATAAACAAAACTTTGTTTTTCTAACTCATTGAAGGGGAAACACGATAGTACCAAGTAATGATCTTCTGTGAGATACCAAGTAGCAAATCAGGGATACTTTGATTTTTTTTCAGCCTTTTGACTAGGGGACACATGAAATTTCCCAACATCTGGAAGATAAGGCATCTTCTTCATTCACATGCTCAAGAATATAGGGCTATGTCTTCAGGAAATCCCATCAACAATCAGCTTGTGAAAAATTTTTCTCTAAGCTCTGGAGTTTCTAAAACCATAGTTTTTCTTGCCCCGCTACCCAGGCACTGTTGTCGAGAAAAGATTGTGAGGGAGGAAGCAGAAGCACAATGCCTAAGAAAAGCTTCTGTCACAATCCCCTTCCTAAGCTGAAAAAGTGCATGATGAGAGTTTTGCTAAAAAGGGGGTGATTAAGATAAAAAAAAGTTTCCTGGGGGACATGAGAGAATCTTCTCTCATTTCTCTAATACTATATTCTGAAAGTCTAATATGCAAATAACTCAAAGATAACCCCCCAAAGTCCCCACCTCTTATGAGCTCTTCAGAAATAATTTCCTTCTCCTTACTGCTTTCAATGGTGAACTGAAAGCTATGAAATTTCTAAATGAGTTGTGAACTGAGTCTCCATGTGGAAAAATAAGTTAGTGTGGCTTTGACCTTGACATAGAATCTATATTCAACTTGTCATGTCAGTATATACTATTGTGCTATAACCACCACATAATGACACAGCTAGGATTTAACTTCGCAGAAGGCAGTTAACACTGACATGAAGATAGAGGCTCTGGGCTGGGAACTAAACTCACCCATCCTTTACATACTACCTGCAGCTCCAGCCTCTGATCACAATTGGCTGCCAGTTATTCAACGAACCTTTAACCAGCCCAAAGGAACTGTACCTGATATTCCATGCACCTGACACCAGTTTTCAATGGTCTTAGGATTGGTGAAATTAATCCTTCAAGATAAGGTCATCCTTCATAAGAATGTCAGGAAACCAGAATCTGCTTTGCTTTATCACTTGGAGGGAGTAGAGAAGAGTCTACTAGGGATTTAAAGCTGGGGGATTCTTACTTGTAAAGCTTCTTGAGATCCCAACACTTTGGCATATAGCTCACAGATTTTCCTCTTCCTATAAGAGCCAAAAAATTGTTAATAACTGACGGTTAAAAATAAATACAGTGGGTTCCAGGGTGCCTGACAATGAACCAGATTTATCACAGAAAAATTAAACTCAGAGGCTTTCTGTAACTATACAAAAGGAACAAATCAATGAGTTTCTGTATTCAGATTAACTTTCCATGCCTTAGTATGGTTATTTGATTTAAAGTCAATAAAATCCTCCTTCCTTTTATATATGTATTTTTTCACTTCTTTCATTACCTGCTATGATATCTGATATAAACAGGGAAAATAAGAGTAAATTAAATTTAATATTAGGAATTAATTCTATATCACTTTTCTGTAATTGTAGAATTCAGAAATGGCTTCATTTATAAGTCTACAACACAGTGTATACTATTTTTGTGTTCTAAACATTTATAAACATAAAACTCATTTAATCTTTTAAGCATAAGATGTGCTATTCTAGAAGAGGGAGATAGTCATTTGAGTGACCAAAGTATTTGTTAAAGGCTAACAAGCAACTGGAAAAAAATTGCTAAAAATAAGGAAAAAGGTTTAATTCAACTCTTTAAGATGAGCATTAAAAGCTAGCAAGACAAATGATCAAAAATACAGTATGTAGTGGACGGAGATCAAACTTACTAGTAACAAAAGAAAAATATTTTAAAATAGATAATTTTATGTTGTCAATTACTTTAGAAAATATTCTTTAAATGTAACACTGATTTCCATAGATAATATGGGACAAAAATGGAGGATTATAAATCTATTTAAATATACACCATTTATAAAACTCTTAGGACTTGTATCTCATGGGTATAGAGGAATAAGTCAGAAGGAGGAGGTGGAATTATAAATGTTGCTTATTGTTGTGCCTTTTACTCGTGGAAAATTTTAAGGCACAAACAAATGTGACTGACCCCTGAGATGACACCATACAACATAAGGTGGATATTTAAATTCCAGGTTAGTCAGGAAAATTTGGTTCTGCCTTACAAAAACTTTTGAGACGTTTAGCCACTGTGTGAAATCATAACCAAATATCTGCTTCCAGGCTGGTATTTATTTTATTATTAATAAGGAAAGAAAGCAGAATATCTAAAAGAAAATATCAAGCTTAGTATGGTATAATGAAAAAAGTATGTGTTATGTGTTATTCTTGACTTTATTACAACTTAGCTACTGTAGTTTGAATGTATATATTCCTCCAAAAGTCATATGTTGGAACTTAACCCCCAAGTAATAAACAGTATTAAGCGTTGTGACTTTTTAGAAATGCTTAAGTCAGGAGAGCTCTGCTCAGTTTGTTTTCTATGATTTTCTTCATACATCTTACAGGAAAACCCTACCTCTCAATCACTGTAAGAAAAACACAAATATGTAAAATTAAATTAATACATGTATATGGCCCAAAGGCGGGAATAACAGAGCTCATAACAAAATACAGGAAGATTGATTTATTGGGGTTGAGAATATTTGTGAAGTACTGGATTTTTACCAATGCCAGTCTACTGCTGTTACAGTGTAATAAACACAGTATAAAGTTAACCTTTTATAGATTTTTCAGATATAAATTCTTTACCTTATTTCCTTATGGAGCTTAGCAAGTCGATCAGCCTTCCGGGCAAGTATGAAGCTGGAAGGAGAGGGGGCATTTGAATGATCAGGTAATATTGTCATTTATCTTAAGAGATGCTCCTCCTTCTTTATGAAGTGTTTTTACTGCCACCTAACTCTCCCCCTCTACTAAATGCCATATTGTTTGCCACCTCCCTCTATGTCCAAAACTCTGCTAAGCTATGAGCTCTTAAACAGGTCACCTCCTACACAGTAATTTACTCCTAAAGCTTAAATACAGTAGACATAGAGTTTGAAATCAAATGCTGCGTAAATTAATGTTGTACTAAATTATTATCCTGGCAATGAGTGCTCTTTTCTGCCAAACATTTGATAAAAGTTGGCCAAATATTAATATGGGTTCATAGTAGATATTGATGGCCCCCAACCCTCTCTTCAGGACCAGTATTTAGTACCCTTCACTCACAGGTGAACTCCTTCCCCAGCAATTATACTCAGCTGCAGCACAAATGTCTGGGGAAAAGTTCCACCCTTCCCTGGAGGCAACTGGCACCAAATGACCAGCTCTGGGGTAGGGTAAGGCCAATCCCCTCAGCTAAGTTCAGGACAACTCTGAAAGGCTAGCCTAGCTCCAGAGGTTTCCACAGGATGGCTAAAGCCTTTAGTGAACAACATTAAAGCCCAACTCTCCCTCAGTCTAATCCTGATTCATTCCTCTCTCCTATAGGCAATAATGCACAGAGCACTTCCAAATAAACTTGCTGTGGCTAAATGTCTATCCATGAGTCAGCTTCCTGGGAAACTGACTTAACAACAGTCCTCAAACAAAGTGATTCAGTAAAACTCAGTTATATTGTTTCCTTTTAATCAAATAGATTCTACTTATTATACTGATACTACTAATTGAATGTATATTTTAAATAATTGAATTGTGACATAAAATCCTTAGACTATTATTAGAAAGCTTTCAAAAATCCAAATGAGGGCTAGGGATGTAGCCCAGTGGTAGCTTTTGTGCTTAGCGCAAGAATAAAAACTCCAAATGCTCTAAGGACAATTAAGTTTTTTCTCTGTTTAAAAAAGTTTTTGTGGGGTTGGGGATGTAGCTCAGGGGAAAAAAGCATTTGCCTCACATGCATGAGGCCCTAGATTCCATTTCAAGCTCAGAAAAGAAACGTTTTTAGATTGTATTGTTGTTGTTGTTCTAGACCAAAAAGAAAAGTAGATTAGGGCTGAAACAGTATTTCCTCCTCTCTCCACTCCCAAATTAAACTGCTCCTCAACTGTACTGACAATTCCTTTAGGGTTGTGATTTGAGATCATTCTGGAAAGCAAAAATACAAATTGCGTTAATCTAGAGAACAATTATTTCAGAGGAAGTCAAAGACTATATAAGAAATTTGAACTATTGAACTTTATGGGATATAGTTATAATTTTATTTAACACTTTAATAACACTCATTATTAACAATTTTAGTTACATTTTAGGTTTATGCAGAAATCACTAAATTTAGACTTACATAATATTTAAAAGAAAATCAGCAATATGGATGAAAGATTAGATGATTTATCTAACAACATTTTTAATTAACTCATCTTGTATGGTTTTCACAGTTCCTTTCCAAAGGAACTATATGTTTCTTAGTAACAGTAAGATAGTATTGGATATTTCTGTCAAATCTCGGGTCATGAATGAAATAACCTCTTTGGTTAAACTATGAAGAGGTGTGCTTCAATTTAATTTGGTGGTATATTGTGGAAATTAAAAATGCTGACTTTGTGTTGGGGACATTTCACAGTTCTGATGTACAAGGTCCTTTCCAGTTTTTAAAAGGTGATAGTTATTAGATATAGTGTTTGGCAGTTATACCCTCCTTCTTTGAGATTTTTTTGAATAAGTGCAAAGAGCAGGGTGGAGGCCACATCTTCAAGGTTTTCATTATCAAGAACAAAGTGCAGGATAGAGGTAATTGTCTTGATAAAACAAGAGAGAAGCTGGTCAGTAGGTATACCTTCATAGATTCAGAGCTGGGATAGACATGTAAGATCAGACAGTTTAGCAAGAGAATAACAGCCAAGTTTGTTATCAAGTGCAGTGCACGTCATGTGGAAACACCTTGTTGAAAAGTAACTCAAGTACATAAGATCCTAATGAGATAATTGACAATGTGAAATAGGAAGAAAAGGACTAAAGGTGTAGGGAAAGTGGGAAGGGTTGGGGAAAGGTAATAAGGGAAAAGAAAAAATATGAGAAAATGAAAAAATGGAAATAAAGTGTTTGTAAATGGGGAGGGGAGAAGGGGGTGAAGGGAGGGCAGGGATAAGGGGAAAAAATGAGAACCAAGACCTGTCATGTAAAGGTACAAGATCCCAATGATGAATGTATCTATACTGTATACCTAAAATGTACCAATAAACTAAAAAAAAAAAAAGTAACTCAAGGTAGTGGTTTATGAATCTTGTATAGTGTATCTAACAAAGAATGGCAAATTTTAGAGCCAAAGGAGAGTAGTTTTAGGCATCCAAAGGTGGAAGACTATGGGAAGGTGAGTATACGGGAAGACATTAATTCAGTAAATTGTGCCCACACATTTCTCTGGCTCTGTCTCTGAGCAGGTTACAGGTTGTTTCCAATAAAGGAGAATTTGCATCTTGTCTTCAGTTGGGGATAGGAGAAGGCTAGAGAAACCTTTGGTCTGTAAATCTCTGTCCTGCTCTCAGGCAAACAGAATGCATAGAGCTTACATCTTATTGTCTTCAACAATTGCAGGGAGATATATCCTGGTCTACAGGTACAAAGTTTCGGTTGGGCTGGAGGAATAAGTTCTGGTGATCTGTTTGTACAGTGAGTGACTATGTGTTGTATATTTCAAAATAGTTAAACAAGAGGACTGTAAATATTTTTACCACAAAGAAATGCTAAGTATTTGAGGTGACAAATATGCTAATTAGCCTGACGATCATTTTACAATGCAGATATGTACTGAAACACCATACTGTACTCCATAAATATATACACTGGTCTCTAAAATTCACTTCATTGCTTCTGAAACTGTGTTCTTTTTTTAAAGTGTGGTAAGACAGAGTTTATGATTTTTATGAAGGGCCAAAGGTAGGCAACTGGGAGTTGTGGCCTTTTACATTTCCTTCTCTGGACTGTTAGTCCCCAACAGGCAGGTGACACAAAAGAGGAGAGCTCTTCTCTCTTCTCATCACTCCACACAGCTCCCCTCTTTGTGGCATAGAATCATGCCCTACATCATCCATGCACTTCTGAGAGTAAGGGAAGTACCGCTGATGAAGGATAATCAACCAGAAAAAGTCCTATGCCATCCACCCAAGGCTGGGCTTGACTGAGCTGTGCCTCCTAATTGGTCAGCCATGTTATATTTCAGGGTAACAGCTCACACTGTTATGCAGTAGGTGTATGGAATGGAGAAAAAGACAAAGCCCAGAAGCGCTGCATTCAGAAGGTTTTATGAGACAGAGCAGCTTCTTTCCAAATGATTTTGAATATTCTGCCTCCAGGCAAGTTTGGCTACCATACTGCCTATCTAAACTGCTTTTATACACCATTCTCAACATGTAAGTTTTATAGGATAAAGGAATATATGGTTACAAGTTCAAAATTTTAGTAGTTTCCCAGTGTTTTTGTGCTACACACAAATCATTACTAAAAATATTTTAATACATAGAAACATAAGATAGCTTTGTAGAGTTATTTATAATTTCTTTGGCTCCATTCCAAAGCATTATACTTTGCCAATATCTACACCAAGACAATTTGGAAAATGCAGGACATGCAGCTGTAACTTACCCCATGATGGCGGGCACCGATCCATCTGGTTTGGTGTCATCCAGGGTTATTGAAATTGGGGCATCTTCATCCTCAATGATCATGCAGCCACAGTAATCTTAACCAGGAGAAAACCAATAGGTGATTGAGACCAACCTCATTAGAGAAGCACACATATAAAACACATATACTATTTTGCTAAGAGAAAGAAAATATTACACATTTGGTATTTGTCTCAACTACAGAAGCCATTTCTATTTAAACACCCACACTGACTATACAGAGATGTCTATTTCCCCTACACAAGAACCCATTTCCATCACCTTTACATAAAAGGGTTATGACTAACACATGACAGACAAAAATGGTAAGATGGCCCTGGATACTGGAATGCATGGGAAAGAAAAGTGAATATGTTGGAAGGAATCACCTCTATAAACCCAAGAAATTGTAAAAAGGAATCCTGTATGAGAAGAAAGATTATCAACAATAGCCACCAGATCAGGCAAACCTACGAACTCCCAAACCTTCCTCATTAAATCCTCAAAACACCCTGAAAGGCATTACTGCTACCATTTTATGCTTACAAATTGATGCCAGTAAGCAAGTAAAGTCCAAGAATATTTGTCTTCAAAATACATCTCTTTACACAGAGAAGAGTTAAGTGGCAGGACAATGCTAGGAACCAGAGCAACAGTGACATCACAAGTGGTGTTCTCAGTAGGCCCTTCTTTCCCTCCCATTTCCAACAAGTGTTTTTGGGGTCATTTTGTGTTGCCAAGGGCTATGAAGAAATTAACATATTTCTCACCCTTTCTCTACAAATTTGAAAACAGTTTAAATGTATGTAAGAGCAGCCTACCCTTTTTCTTCCAGAAGGCTTCCCTATAATACATCATGCACTTAATGATCGACCCCATTGGAAGGCGCTGGATTAATTGGGTTCTCTCTGGTGGAAGTTCTGGTCTGAAGTGGATCTTGGCAGTTAAAGTTGGAGGGATGGCACTAATTACATATCGGCACTGAAATAAATATACATAAAACATTACCTCAAACATGAACTGCAGTCTTTGCACAGGGTATAAAACATCATCTTTATCATTGGAATGACACCGAGCAGTAGTAACACATGACATGAGGCAAAAGTGAGGCAACAAATTTGATTTTGGTAGATCAACCAAAGCTAGTAATTTGGGAGACTGAAGCAGAAGCATGTTCACATTAATTATACCACTGCTTGGGTTATATTATGCTAGAAGTTTCAGAAGACACACAGCCTATTTACTATAAGCTCCTTTTGACTGAAATGAATTACCTACCTCATAGAGTTCATGATTCAGTGTCTCTATAATGATGTTGTCACCTGATTGGTCAACATAGGTGACAGGACGGTTCAACTTCACTCTGTCACCTAGGAGGCCCATTATCCTTTCACACACTTGACCTGATCCACCCTTAAACTTCCGTTCCTACAAGACGTAGGGAAGAAAGGAAATATAAAAGCCTAAGGTCAGAAAGTCCTATTTGCAATTGATTAGAAAATCTCCAAAAAGTCACCTCTAGGCTTCTACCTTCTACACACTTAACTATTAGAAGAACTCATTACAATAGAGTCAGAGGCTGTTAAAGCACCTCTATTATCCTCTGCACAGCCCCCAGCAAAAGAAAAGCCATTATTATACTGTTCATAAAATTACAGACCAGAAAATATGTTCTCCTATGCCAGTGCTGTCCTGACCACAAGGAAACAAAGTCTGTGGACTTCAAATATACAAAAGTATGGTACATAAAAGGAATGTTGGGATGGGGGTAGCTGTATTTGTCCCTGGGGATGTAGCTTCCAACTTCCCTTGGATTCTTGTAGTCCTGGGCAGGCTGGGGTTATCTGGGTAGGTAAGGATATAAGAAGGCACCATGCTATAGACACAACTCCAAGAGAACAGGCTGGGGGTGCTCCTAGGGACAGTCATGCACTACCACTTAGTAGTCATCATCAAGTAAGGTTGTTGGGATCCAAATCTCAGATCATGAGCAAGTTTTTGTAAAACTGAAAGTTTTTCAGTAGAGAAAGAGAAGTGCAGGCTAAGTGCATGCTTATTCCTTCAGCATTATTGAATAGTTCTCTTGAGAAGCCCTGTAAGACAAGGAGCGCTCTGTCTACCAAGGTCTGCTGTCTTCATTGTGGAAATGCATCTAGATTAACCTAAGAAGGCAAGTCCTTAACATAATGCATTTGCTAAGAACTAAGAGAATATTTTTAGCCTCTTGTACATAAACTCCTTGAATGGTTAGAAATACACTTTGATAGAATGAATCATAGACCAACACTGACAATTAGGTATCTCAATCATGAACAGCCACGTGATTTTTGTAGTTTTATAACTGGCTACTGTTTTAATGACATCACCAAAGCTTTTTATAAAAATATTCCTGTAGCGCAAGGACCCGAGTTCAATCCCTGGTACCAAAAAAAAAAAAAAAAAAAAAAAACAATTCCTGTAGTGGTTCAGAAAAAAATCATCATTTATCTCTTAAGAAATCAGTGCCATTTAATTTATAATCTGACCTATTTTCCAAGAGTTGCTTTGAGTTTTAGTGTAATTGAAAAACCATGAACTATTTCCATCTTGTTCACTATCTACCTTTCCATGTTTAATGCTTATTGAATTAAACTATTAAAAAGTAAACTTGTTTTTTATAAAAATATTATAATAGGTTGAGATTGATATCAGAATTGTAGTTTCCAAAAGGTCATGTAGAGATTATCTAGAAGTATACTGCCTCCTCTGATTGCAGCATACAAGTAACAAGCATGAGTCAAGACACCTGAGAATGTAAAACATGGGTTTAGAAAAGAGTAATGTGAGATTTCTATACGTGAACATGCAAAAAATGCAATTGTCTCACATTTGTCGAATCTAAGGGTCCAATAAGCAACAACTAGTGGTGTCACAAAAACAACTTAGGGACTTCTAGTGATCTCCAGAGAGGCAATAGAGGAACACTGTACATCTTGTACAATGCACCCAGCATTCTAGGACTCAGAGAACAGAACATAAGTCAGAAGTAAACTTCTATTAATTAAACCTCATCCCACTCAAACATAACATAAAAGAAACAGATGGGAAAAAAACTCTATGTCTAGAAGAGAGATGACTTTAAACATAATTGTACAAGTACTAGAATTTTTTGAAATTCACTTATTTTAATAATTTAGCTTTTCCTATAGAAACAGGCCAATTTTTTCTACCACTTAAAGAAAGGAACTTAATTCCCAGGATCTAATTAATTCAAAATAAAACATTCTTTAGCTGTAAACTTCTTTGCAGAAATGAAAAAAAACAGGAAATTAGATATTTTTTCAGACATGTTTTTTGAGTTCATTTTATACTGCTAATTATTCATGGTTGAGAATAATGAAGCGAATGTTAAAACAATGCTCTAGGTGAGGGCAAAATCACAAGTAAAGTTGCAGTTTCAAAATAGACATGCCATACCTGGCCTCCATTGGTGATTGAGAAAATCCGAGTGGTTCCACCACACTGCTTCACGTACCACAGGAACCACAGAGCAGAGACCTCATGGGGCTCAGAGGTGACATTGATATTCACAAACAGAGTAGCAAACTGTTTAGCAGTCCTGTTCACAGCACAAGAGGGGACAACCCATACAGGAGTCAGAGAAATGCTTTTTTTCAAAACAATGTAGCATGGTTACAACACATTTCTATTGCTTTGGGGAAAAAATATTCTCATGGGCCATATTTCCAAAGGAATGTATTTTTAACTCTTGAGGAAAATAAAGTTTTCTCTTGCTATGAAAAACTTACAGGTTACCTCCAAATATGCCTAATCATGGTTCTGACTAAAGGGTCAACATACTTGCCAGGGATTCTTGTCAACTATTTTAATAAACAAATCTTTTTTCTGTCTCCTCTACTGTTCCTAATCTGGACCACAAAAGTGGTAGATAATACCTGGTCATACTGCATCATTCTCGTACCTTTTCCATACTTTACACAGAGAGTTCTTTTAAAGGTGCAAAACTAAAATCAAACAAACAAACAAAACAAAACAAAAAACCCTTCTACTTAAAATACTTCAATGGCCTAAAATGGAGAAAGGTCAAATCTTGAATGGTAGCCAACATATACTATGTCATAGATTGCTTCACCTGTACTGGAACCTTGCCTTATACTACCTGCCCTTGTCACCTCTGTGGTCCAGGCATATATAGTGACCATTCAGTGTCTAAAACCTGTTTATCTCCCTCCCATCACAGAGCCTTCAAAAAAGTTGTTCCTTGTTCTCTCTGCCTGGAAGGTAACATTCACTCATGTCATTCACTGTACTCTGTCTCTCCCCTTCCACCCTGTGGGTCACTCCTGGAAGACACCCCCTTCCCATGCTACCTTCTTCTGTAGTTGTAGATGACTCTCAGAAGACACCATCCCTACTTTTCCTGGTTCCCCCAATCTTGTAGGTCATTCCCAAAAGACACTATCCTGCCACAGGGTACACCACCCCTTTCTGGTTCTTTCCTAAAAGATACCATTTCCTCACACCACCTATCCTTACTCTCTCAGCCAGTAACGGGAACTCATTAAGAATAAATTCCCTCCATTTAACATTCACATTTCATATTTCTATGACGTCCCTATTGTTCATGAGTGATATATCCATAAACCTGACATCCTGTAATTTTCCTTACCCCTCCATAGGTAATTTGTAGAGGATACCTACCATCCTTACATCATCCAACTCTCCCTAACTCACCCCAAACCCTTGAGGTCATTCCTGAATGATACCATCTGTACCAAATCTAAATTTCCACCTCTCCCCTTCAGTCCCTAGCTGAATGTCTGATGGATAGTATCCTAACATCCCAACACCTGCACTCTCCTCCCACCACTGCCATGGAATATATCATCCTGCCACACAATGCACTGTCTTCCCCCTGACCCTAGGTCTTTATTGAAAGACATCACATTTTCCCATGCCAACCACCCTCTGTTCCCTTCCACCACTGTGGCATCTTAACTGCTGCCTATTTTTATTGACTCTCCCCACTCTGAGAAATAGTTCCAATATCAGCCACCCATCCTATCTCTCCCTGCCTCTGTGGCACATTCCTGGAATATGCCATCTATCCCCAGCAATGACCTTTCCTGAATTTCCTATGTCCTTGTGGACCAATTAACAGGAAATGTAATCCCATGAAATAATACCTCTCCCCATCCAATCTCTCCTAGTCAATTTGGGAAGAAAGCAATCCAGCAAAATCATCCCCCCAAATCTCATCTCCTCCTGCAACTAATGGTCACTTCTGGAAGTTAGTTAGACCACATCCCTGTCTCCTTCTACTCACATAAGTACATTCCTCGGAGACAATAAATCTTCCAAAATCCTCACTTTGGTCTTCCCCCTGCCCCCATGGATTATCCCTGGAAGATACCATCCTGCTATACTGTTTCTGTGTCCATTCTGACTCTATTCAGTCATTCTTAGATGCTACCATTCACTCTTCCTCTGTCCCACCTTGCCTCAATGCCTCATTCCTGTTAGATACAAACCCACTCCACAATATACATACTAACCAATCTCACCCAGGCACCTATGAGTAATTACAAGGTATTATTCCCCACTCCAAAATCTACCCATTCCTTTCTCTCATTATCTATGTAGAAAACTCTTGGAAGATACCAAACTGCCAAACCATCTACTTGTCCAATTTACCCTTAAGACCCTAGATATTGCCTGAAAAATAACATCTCCCCATACCTCCTCCTTCCAATCTCCCACATCAACCTGGATTCCTAGAAGATGCCATCATCCCCCTACCCAAACTTCCATGCTTCCTACAAGCTCCACCCACACAGTGATTCTTTTCAGGAACATTTTCTACCAACAACATTCACCTTCTCTGTCTCTGTTCTCCCCACCCCACCCCCGTCTCTCTCTCCCACCTTCCCTCTCCTCCCTCCCTCTTCTTTTCCCCCCTCTTCCTCTGTGTCCCTCACCTCCTTCCCTCTTTCCTTTCCCACTCCTTCCTGGAATATACCATCCTTCTCTAGCTCCCAGCCTTCCTGACTTTTCATTCCACCATGCCAATTCCTAACCTCTTCTTTCCCCCTCTTCCTCTGTGTCCCTCACCTCCTTCCCTCTTTCCTTTCCCACTCCTTCCTGGAATATACCATCCTTCTCTAGCTCCCAGCCTTCCTGACTTTTCATTCCACCATGCCAATTCCTACATAACGTGCCCGCCACACCTCTTGGGAGATGCCATTCAGTTCAGTTCACACACTGGTCCTTTCATACCGCCTTGCTACAATATATACTCTTCCTGTTCCCTTCTTGACTCTGGATTTTTCCTGGAAAATACCATCTCCTTAGGTTATCTACCTTTCCTTCTCACCTATGACCTTTGGCTGAATCCTGGAAGATAAAATTATTGCTCCTTATTGATCTTGATGCTTTCTATCTCCATTCTTCACCCAGTGGATCATTCCTAGAATATACCATTGTCTTACATCATCTATCCATCTTGCCTTCCTTTGCTGCTGTGGTTCACTCCAGAAATGTACTGCAATATAGGACATTCCAGTCAAAACATTCACCCACTCTTTCTTCCCCTAGCATATGTGGAACTTTCTAGAAGATACCTCTATCACACCCTCATCTATCTCATCCAGCCCCAATGGTCCTTTACCAGAAGACACTGACCCACTATTTACTATCCACCATCCAATTTCCCCTGCCACTGTAGGTCATTCCTGGAAGATACCATTCTGCTACACCTTTTTGTATCAACTTCTAGCTCCATGGATCACTCCTGGGAAGTGCATTTCACCATTCCTTATTCCTATCTTGACCTAGTACCTTCCTCCTCCCCCCAAATTATCCAAAATCTCCAGTACCTCTCCCCTTCCTTGTCTCCACCTCAGCCCCTGTAGCTCCCTCTTGGAATATACTGTTTTATCCTTACTATCCTGTCTCCCATCTCTCCCACACCCCTGTGGATCATTCTTGGAATATACCATTCTGCCACAGGATTCACTATTCCTATCTCTTCCCTGACACTGGCTCTTTCCTTAAGATATCAGATTTTCCCATGCCTGCTACTCTCCCTTCTGCATGCCTTTGATAGGACATGGTAGAACACATTATCCACCCTTATAACTTCCTTAATGTTTGTGTTCCTCACTCAGAACAACACTTTTGGAAGATACTACTGTTCCAAAACCAGACACTAATCCCACCACCTCTGCTTCAGTGTGACATTCCTGCAATATATCATCCTGCCCCAGTAACCATCCTTACTGATTTTCCAATACCTCTATTGTTCAATCAATAGGAAATATAATCCCTTGAATTTGTACTGTTTTACCTCTTTCCCCTAGTCATTACTGGTCATTTCTGGAAGATACCATTCTAGCAAAACCACTATCAATCCTCACTCTGTCTGCACCTGTGAATCCTTCCTTGAATATATCAGTCACATCCATACTTCCTGCTCCCATGTCCCTACCCAGCCCATATAGTGCATTTCTAGAAGATATTTCATCTTACATGATCCTCCTCATACTATCAACCTCTCAAAACTCCCACACTCCCCCCTCTCCCTATAAATCATTCTAGGAAGATATGCCAACAACATTCATTCTTCTTGTGCCCTCTACCCCTATAGGCCATGTCTGGAAGATACCATCCTACCTATAACATCTACCATTTCTTTTTCCCCTATACTGTCTAGTGGATCATTCCTGAAAGATACTACCCATCTCATCACAATCTATCTATCCTGCTTTCTCATGCATCTTGAATCTTTCCTGGAACATATCATCTGCATTCCCCCGTCTCCCCCAGCCAGTGCTGTGTATTCCTGGAAAATAGTATCATTCCCCACCATCCACCTTTCCCACCACTGCACTGTTCTTGTGGGTTATTCCTGGAAGACACCATCCACCCCTAATACATGCACTTTTCTTTTGTCCTTCTAGCCTTTCTGTGTCATTTCTGGAAAATACTAACCTGCCACAAAATCCACCTTTCCTGTACCATTGGGTCATTCTTGAAAGATACCACTCCCGACACCATTCATCTTGTCTGTCTCCGACACTGTCGCTCTTTTCTGGAAGATACCACCTCCCATCTATCCCTCTGTACCTCTCCTCAGTCTCTATGACTTATTCCTAGAAGATACTTCCCCCAATTTGCCCCCCATTCCTTTTTATTCCTAGTCCCTCTGGGTTATTTGTGTAAGATGTCATAACCCAGCACAATATACCTATACTGTCTCTCCCTGATACTGCTGTGCATCCCTGGAAGATACCATCTTGTTCATACCTGCCCTTACCTGAGTTCCTAAAGTTCCTGTCCACCCATCTCAAAAGATCCTACCTATCCCCTTTTCCCTACTATCCATTCTCTGTCTTACCTGTAGCCCCTGTGGCTCATTCCTGAAAGATATTATCTGCCCTTACAACTTCCCTGTGTCTTATCCTCAACTCAATAGATTATTCCTGGAAGATAAGGTTGTCCTAACACAATCTACCCTTTCTGTCTCCTCTTGCACCTGTGGGCCATTCCTGGAATATATTGCCCCTCCCCCAATATCCAAGCTTCTGTGTCTTCTCTCCAGACTCTGGATACATGCCTGGAAGACATTATCATTCATCTTCTACCCTTCACTTTCCCTATGCCTATGTGGGTCACTCCTGGGGATATCACCCTGCCATTCCATCTATTCTTTCTGGATAGAACCTAGATCATTTTTGGAAAATACCAGCCTATGATCAAATCCATCCTTCCTGTTTTCTGGACTCCACTCAGTGGATAATTCCTGAAAGGCAGACTCCCTCCAACAGCAGCCCTCCATCCTGCTCTGTAGGTCATTCCTAGAAGATATCATCCCCCTATATCATCTATCTTTCCCTATCTCCCCTCAGCTCCTTTGGGTCATTCTGGAATATACATCCTCACCTCTTTTACCTTTCCCTCTCTTCCCCAACCTACTATGGGTCATTTCTGGAAAAATAGCTTCCTGCCACACCATCTACCAATCCTGTCCTCTTTGCCCTTGTGGGTCACTTCAGGAAGATACCATCTACTCCACATCATTTACAATTCCTTTCTTTCACTTTATGGCTTTATGGCACTTTATGACTTTATGGGTCATTCCTGGAAATATCATACTATTACCACCCCACCACACACACCTATCATCCACCCTTCCCTGTCTCCTCTCAGCGTCTGTATCTCATTAATGGGTAATATTCTCCCATATCATCACCCCTATCTTATGGCTCATTCACAAAAAGTACTCTTCCCCAAGATATTCACCTGTCCCTGCTCCTCTTCATTCTTTTAGGACATTCCTAGAAGATAACATCCTACCTGATACCAAACTACCCTGCTATCTCTTGCCCTTTGGGTCATTCCTGGAAAAATTCATCCTCCAAACTGTCCATCCTTCCCTCTCTCTCCTTGCCCCTGTGCTCATTCTTAGTTGATGCACTGACTCCTTAGTTGCAGTTAAAGACTGTATCAAAGAATTCTTTTACCCTCAGACTGGGCAAGGTTCCTCTTGTTGCAGACACTCTCTCCTAGCATTGTGTAACTAACCATGCATACAATTTTAGCCTTGTTTGCTAGATTACTCCATGAGGGTAGAAATTTATCCTATCAAGTTGACTACCTTTCCTTAGTCAGTTCCTGGTATAGTACCTTCACATAGTAGGTTAAAATAAATACACATTAATAGGTACATAAATATTATATGTATTAGTAAATAAAATACATGCAAAATACATACAGTCCTGTGCTGAATAATGACGTTTTGCTCCATGATCTACCACTTATAAGATGGTAAGATTATATGGCCTAGTGATGTTATAGATATCTTAGTCTAAGTATACTCTAGGATGCTTATATAACCATGAAATCATTTAACAGTGCATTTCTCAGAAGGTATCATTATGAAATTATTAAGTTATGACTATACTAATGAACTAGAAATTACTAAACTAAAAACAGATTTGAATTAAAACTATTATATAGTTTATATTTTTCAGTAATATAGACTAGTTACTTCCTAGGATTCTATATTTGTACGGAGTTATTTTTTAAATGTCTTTGCAAACTACTTTTATAGGTGGTTTTATATAACATTAAAACCTAATTACTGGTTTTATTACGATCATATGATCCTTTCATTAAAAGAAGTTTTACTCCAGTACCTCACTTAGGTTTTGATTCATTTTCTTTTCAGGGATGCTCTGAAGTATCTAATGTGCCCACAAAGTTGCTACTGATTGAAAGATTATTAGAATTCCTCTTAATATTATTCCTATAGGTTATGAAGAAAATCACTTCATCTCCAGACAGGATAGAAAGGATCAGAAGGAAAGGTAGAAAGTAAATTTTAATTTGAGCATGCTGGCATAAGTATGTAATCCCAAAACTCTGGAAGACTGAGGCAGGAGGATCACATGTGCAACCCCAGCCTGGGCAACTCAGCTAGACCCTTCAAAAACGGGCTGAAGATGTAGCTCAGTGCAAAGGCTCTGGTCCTAATACTGGAGAAATAAAAAAGCAAAGGCCAATTTTGAATAACCAAGCATACTTTGTCCAGCAGATTTTATCGATGAGATCTTTCATGGTCATCTTGTCCCATTCCTGGGCATGTGGAGCATCCCAGGGTGCATCAGCTGGAATCTGCAAGGGAAGGAGGCACCACGCTCAGTTGCAATGACAATTTCTATCACCACTCACCAGAGAGACCTTTAAGAGAACCTTTGAAAACTAGTTTCTTAGATCCTGTTAGAATGTATGATTGGTTTAGAATTCTATGTAGAGGTGGGGCAGCTCTTTGGATTCCATACCTCAACACGATTGCCAAAGGAATAATAACAATCATAATTACATATGAAAATATGTATATATTTATATGTAATTATGAGTAAGATGATAATAATTATCAGTATCATTATCATTATTAAATGAAAGCTAATATTCACTTAAGGTCCCAGATTCAAGTTTAAGTTTAAGAGAATGATATTACAGAGTACAGCAGTACCTCGATTCACAAATTTAATTTGTTCTACAGTTTTGGAAAATATGGCCACATTTGTGTTTGTGTGAGAAAGATGGCCGTGCTCATATTTGTTACCCCATACAGTTTGCAAACAAAAACAAAATTTGGCCAAAAGCTTCTGTTTGCAAACCAAATTGTTCACAAACAAAAGCATACGTGAACCAAGGTACCACTGTATGAGATTAAGTATAAAACTTTGGGGCAGAAAGTCCTCTTTTACTACTTGAAGTGACATTACAGATGGACAAGATAACTGTAAGTAGACATACAGTGCTTCAAAAACTTAATTCTTTCTATGACTCTGGTTGCAAACTGAATTGGATTCGAACTGAATCAAATTCAATGGTTAGGTTCAATGCTGACCTCATTGGGAAATTTGATTCAGTTTTCATCTAATTTGATTTGTAACCAGAATCGTGGAGAGAATTAAGTTCGTGAACTGAGGTACCACTGTTTTTGACAAAAATGTATCATAGAAATGCTCAATGGCATACAACTGAAAGCTCATAGGTATTTTCATCAGCAAGGATAGGTCTGAATCCTGGTTCTATTGCTGTGTGGACTTGCATATGATATAAACTACTAGGTAGTCATTTTCTCCATTTGTCAGTGGAAATTCTACCAGGTCTGCAGAATTGTTGAGTGCACTGGAAATGATATATATCAATGTCCAGAGCAATATTCCCTGTACACATAGAAAGATAATAAATATTTGCTACTGTTATTTTCATAATAGGTTATGTGCAAACGGAACACATATTTTACCTCTTTTCCCATGTCATCCATTGTCCGCCACAGATTGTTATAATCCAAATATGCAAGAGGGTTCCATACAGGAGGAAATGCTCCCCGAAATGGATAACTTTTCCCCTGGAACATAAGAGCAAAGGGAATCAATTATAAAGTGTAATACCTAAAGTTAGGATAGCATTCTTAAAACACGAGAACCAACCAACTTAAGACAGTCATTTTCAAAGTAACAGGATCCTTCTATTGTATCAGAAGCACCAAACACTGGCATGTTTAACTTCATAAAACAAAAACTAGTGAACATGTAAAATCAGACAAATACCAATACAATTGTAATGGAGTCCTCAAGACCCCACTGTCACAGACATATCAAACAGATAAAGAATCAACAAATAAATATCAGAGTTGAAGCAAACCTTGGAAAAAATGGACTTAATAGATATCAACAGAGTATTTCATCCAACAACAGAACACATATTCTTTGCAGCAGCACATGGGATTTTCTCCAAAATAGACTATTTACTAGCCTATAAAGTGTGCTTAAGTAAATGTAAAAGAACCAAAATTATCCCGTGCATATTATCAGATCATAGTGCAATAAAACTAGAATCAAAGGCAAAAGACACCATAGAAACTATGCAATCACAGGGAAATTAAATTCAAGCCTCTTGAATAATCAATGGGTCTCAGAAAAAAATCACCTCCTAGAATCAAATAGAATTGTCAGTAAAACATACTGGAACTTATGGCATACAATGAAAGTAGTTCTAAGAGGAAAGTTTATAGCAATGAATGTCCACATCAGGAAAATAGAGCAATCTCAAATAAATAACCTAATGATGCATTTCAAGGTTACAGAAAAACAAGAATAATTCAAATCCAACGTAAGCATGAGAAAGAAAATTATGAAGATCAGAGAAGGAATAAATGAAATTGAGAAAAAAATACAAAGAATCAATGAATTGAATAGCTGTTTCTTTGAAAGAATAAACACAACAGACAAACCCTTAGCCAAACTTAGTAAAATAATGCAAGAAAAGGCTCAAGCCCATGAAACTAAAAGCAAAAAAAAGGTGAAATTACAATGGATCCTGCTGAAATCTAGAAGATCATTGGTAACCACTTTGAGAACCTAAACTCTAATAAAAAGAAAAATTCAGAAGAAATGGATAGATTCCTGGATACATGTAAACTATGGAAGCTGAACCAAGAAGATACAAAAAATCAACACTCAAAAATTAATAGCAATCCCATACACTAATAATAAACTTGCTGAGAGAAAAATTAGGGAAACAATACCTGTTACAATAGCATCAAGTTAAGTGAAATACTTTGGAATCAATCTAACCAGAAAAGTGAAAGACTGATACAATGAAATCTACAGTACTCTGAAAAAAGATTGAAGAAGGCATTAGAAAATGGAATAATATCTCCTGTTCCTGGATAGGCAAAACCAATATAGTCGAAATAGTTATACTTCCAAAACTATTATACAGATTTAATGTAATACCAATGAAAATATCAACAGTGTTCCTCACAGAACTGGAGAAAAGAATGCTAAAATTTATATGGAACCAGAAGAGACCTAGAACAGTAAAAGTAATCCTGGGCAACAAGGGCAAGACAGGAGGCATCACAATACCAAACTTCAAGTTATACTACAAAGCTATGATGATAAGAACAGCATAATATTGGCAAAAAAATACTTGTGGATCAATGGAACATAAGAGAGGATGCAGAAAAAACTCTAGGTAAACTCAGCCATGGTATCTTTAACAAAGGAGCCAAATACTTTCTTTCACTGGAGCCTCTTTAACAATTAGAGCTAGGAAAACTGGCCAACCACATGCCAAAGATTGAACTTAGACCTGTATCTCTCACCATGCACTAAACTAAAATCAGTATAAATGGATCAAAAATATAAATATTAGAACTGAAATATTTAATTTGCTGGAAAACAAAATTGGTGAAACTCTTGAAGACATAGGTATAGGAAAAGATTTTCTGAACAGAACCTTGGTTGTATAAGAAATAATAATAAGAACCATCAGATGGGATCATATCAAATTAAAAAGATTCTAGTTAGCAGAGAAGGAAACTACCAACAAGAGTAGACAACCGAGAGAAGGGGAAATTTTTTTGCCAGCCACTAATCAGAGGACTAATAGCTAGAATATATAAATAACTAAAAAAATTAGACCCCTCAAATTTAAAAACCAAATAAAAAATGGCCATCTGAATTGACAGACATGTCTTAGGTGAAGAAGTACATATGGCCATAAATACATGAAAAAATGTTCCGAATCACTGGCAACTTTAGAAATGCAAACTAAGAGAACACTAAAATTCTATCTCACTCGAGACAAAATGGCTATTTTCATGAAATCAAATAAAAACCAATGCTGGAGAGGCTTAGGGGAAAAAAGAACCATTCTTCATTGTTGATGGGAGTGCAAACTGATACAACCACAATAGAAGTTAAGTATGGAGATTCCTCAAAAAACTAAAAATAGAAATTCCATTCGACCCAGCTATTCCCCTTAATCTTCCTGAAATATTTAAAGGCATCATACAATAGTGATACAGGCATATCCATGTTTATAGCAGCACAATTTATTAATAGCTAAATCTTGGAAGCAGCCTAAATTTCCATCAACACATGAATAGACAAAGAAAATGTGGTATTTTTACACAATGGAGTGCTTCTTTGTCATAAAAGATAAGCTTGAGTAATTCATAGGGAAGTGGATTACCTTGAGACCATAATGTTAAGCGAAGTAAATCAGACACAGAAACCTACATATTGCATGGCTTCTCTTCTATTAGCACCCCATTATATAAATAAAGTGCAAAATAAAAGAGAATAGGAAATAGCAAGATGGATCTTTGGCATAAGGGAAGGGAATTAAGAGGTAGAGAGGGGAAGAGGAAATTAAAATTTAAAAAGGGGGTTTGTGAAGTGTTGTGTACATGCACCAAGTCCCTGTGAGGAATGCAATCATTATGTACTACAAATTATATATATATATATATATATATGAATGAAGAGGTATAAGGGTCCAAGGGATGTAGGGAGGGAAAAGGAAGGGGGCTAAAAGAGAATTAAGAAATGTCATGTGCATGCACCAACTCCTTACAATGAATATAATCAATATGTACAATAAAAAATATAAAGATAAATAAGTAAAGGTAACTCATCTAGTATCAGATACTGGGACCACAATATTCCCAGCTCCTCAGGGCCAGGCATTTAGCTCAGTGGTTTCACTGCCCGCCTCACAAGTGCAAGGACCTGAGTTCGATCCCCAGTACAATAAATAAACAAACAAACAAACAAACAATTCCCAGCTCCTCATAAGTGCAGGATAAAGACATAGAAATCTGTCTTCAGACCCCATATAAAACAGGAATAGTAAAGTGGAAGAACTCAGATCATTATTTAAAAGTCTATACAGGCTAAATAAAATCTGGCTAGACCACAGACTACAGCTAATATCAAGAATATTAGCAATGTGGAATAATACACATTCACCATTTTTGATTGTCCGGTATTCATTCTTTCGTAGTAATACCCTGGCTTCTTTTCAGGAAATCACCTCTACTCCTGTATGTGCAACTATGTAGGAAGGATGGTCTTAGATACAAGCTGCCATTACAGGTGATGGGTTAGAGTCCTCCCTCTTTTCTCCCACTTCCTGATAGAGCCAGCTGTGAGCCAGTAATCTGGCCTTGGTTAATCACACTTTCTGGCTCTGGTGACCATCACCCAAGTATAGAAGAAAGTGGAATGTAGGTTTTCTTACCTGAGAGCATCATGCTGAGGAGATGCTTCCTGCTACAAAGACCGTGGCTATTGTTGCTATCCCTAACTTATCAGAGCTCTCCTGCTCTCTGTTCATTCTGAAGCAATATTCTTAAGCTTCATATTGATTCTGTGAGCTCCCGCATTTCCTTTTAGAAAATTCTGTTAACCCAAGTTGATTTCTTTGGCTTGGTACCAAGATCTCTAACATGAAGATAACTCATCATTAGTAACCATTTACTTCACTTCATCAAGTGCCACATATTGCACTTAGCAAAAGCAAGGGTGAGTAGAGTGTGAACCCTTAGGAAAAGAAACCAGGACTAAACAGTTTCTAAAGTCTTATTTGCAAATTTAATTTCTTTTATAGTCAACCCTCTGTATCCTCATGTTCTGCATCTATAGATAAACTCAACTGCTGACCAAAAATATTTTTTATTCATCTGTACTGAACATGTACTGTTCTTTATTTGCTGTTTCTGTTCCCTAAACAATATGGTCTAACAACTATTTATATAGCATTTATATAGTCCTAGGTATTATAAACAATCTTGAGATTAAGTATGTGGAAGGATGTGCATAGGTTATATGAAAATACTATGCATTTTTTTAACTTTATGCACCTTAGGTCTTGGTTTCTACAGGGGCTCTTAGCTAGAGCCCCTGCTGTAGCTCTGCAGATACTGAAAGTCAATTATATTTAAAAAAATAAATGTCTTCTCAATATTTATAAAGTGAAAATATTTTCTAATAGTGCAAATTTGTGTAAGAATTTGATTTTTAATTGCATAAATATTTGTATGAAGTCTTAACTGCATGCACTGCACAAAATCAAAAGTTATTATTCAAAAAGGATCAAGAAAAACTTAACCATCAGGGCAGGGACACAAGACACAACAACATGTGGAGGCACATCCCAGCTCACAACAGAATAAGAATATATCACATTTCTTAAGTGACAAAGAAGTGAATTTCCTTTCCACACGGCAAATTAAAATAAACTTGGTAGATTATGTGATCTTATTTATCTGAAAATGCTATGTTGAAATGCTGCAATATAAATTTTTCACTCCAAATCCTTTATCATCATTGCCACCATCATCACTAACATTTATTGTGATTTTTCTCTATGCCTAGCATTGGCCGAAGCTCTTCATATGCACTATCTCATGCAGTGCTCCCTCCTCTAACCTGTAAAGGTAAGTGCTATTAATATTTCCATCTTATAAATAAGGAAGCTAAAAAGTCCAGTGACAGCAGCTAGTAAACAGTAGAAGGGAAATTTTCTGCTCACAAAGCCTTTGCTAATAAAACACTT